CTGCGCCTCATGATTTGACGCGTGAAATTCCCGCGCTTTACCATGGGCGGTGCCTGCGCAAATAGAAACCAATGCCCGCGGCGCCTGCGCTAAAGGCGGGATGGCGAAGAGACGCCCGCGCCCTATTCCTCGACGCGCCCCCGCGGTGCCTGCGCGCGGCCGTGCGCAGCGCCCGCGCAGATCAGTGGATGGCCCCCGCGGTGCCAGCGCTGATAGCTGGATGGCGAGGCGACGCCCGCACCACAACATTTGACGCGCCTGCGGTGCCTGCGCCGGGTCTCGCGCGGCGCCTGCGCCGACGACTCTACGGCGCCCGCGGTGCGCGCGATTAACGCCGCCATGGCGGCGCGATACCTGTATTCATTATGGTTCGGCGGGCCTGCGGTGCATGCGCCGAGTCACGCGCCCTGAGCTCCGAGCGCTGGCGGGAGCGGAACGACGCGGTGGTTGGACGCACGTCCTCGGCGCGAAGTCGCTTGCCTTGCGTTTGCCATGCAACGGCCACCTGGGCGCGGAAAAAATCAAAGGTCGCGCTCGAAAGGTCGACATGGCGACGTTTCCAAGGCGCGCCCACATCACCTGCCGGGTCGGTGAGCCTGGACAGGGCGCTCCGCTTTTGTTTTTGGCTGACATGTGGTATCGGAATGGAAATCAAGATTGGACCCAAGGTGCCACGGACGGCATCGCCGTGGATGCGAAGATGACGGCGACGGCGGCGACGGCGATGGCGACTAGGCAACCCCCGTGGCCGCGACCACGATCCCCTACATTGCACCCCGTCACGCGGATCGGCTCCCAGTTGGGCATCCCTGCTTCCTCGAAAATAAGCTGAATTGGGAAAGCGCCCACACTATACAAACACGATACAACAAAATCTTCATAACAAGGAAGGATTTGGGGTCTGGCAGTTACACAGCACAGGACATACTATCAACACGTTGAACACATACACAACATACATGTAGCATGCTGCAGCGCCATGGAAGAATGCGTCAGAATGTAGCACAGAAGATAACTGGATTATGATACCAGGCTGCGAGTGCAATGCCAAAACGGTAGGACAATCAACAAACATGTACACAGGAGCGCGATGTCATAATACCGTCGAACACGTTATGCTTATAATCGACATGAGGTGAACATATCCGGCACACGAGCGAGCAGACCATACCATGTTAACACATCTAAACCAACACATCGTAACACATTGATGATGAGTAGTATTCTATGTAAGGAAAACGAGCGTAACATCACATATCAAGGGGGGGTCCCGGGGGGCTCCCGGGGGGGTCCTGGGGGGGTCCCGGGTGGGTCCTGGGGGGTTCCCGGCGGGGTCCCGGGGGGGAGGTCCCAGGGGGGGTCCAGGGGGGGGTCGCCACCCAAATACGCTTTCACTCCCCGCGCATCCGGCGCGGTCCCCGCGCGGCTCCGGAACCCCGCGCAGCTTCCCAGTTTTCAAAATGGCCCCTGGAGGCCCAAAATGACGAAAGACTGAACATGTGTGTAGAACAACTCCACCTCCCCCTCCTCCTCCTCCTCCTCCTCCTCCTCTTCCTCCTCCTCCTCCTCCTCCTCCTCCTCCTCCTCCTCCTCCTCCTGCTCACTCTGCGGACTCCGAACCCCAGGCTCGAGGATCGAGGCTTTCGGGCGTCGCCAGAGCCCTCTCTTCGGCAACCCTCCTGCTCCTCCTCCTCCTCATCCGCCTCTCCATCTCCCTCCTCATCCTCCATCTCCTCCTCGTTTCTCCTCCTCCTCCTCCTTCTCCTCCCTCCGACTCCTCCTTCTCCGCCCACCGCCCTGTCCACTCCTCCTCCCCTCCTCCTCGCTCCTCCTCCTTCCACCTCCTCCTCCTCCTCCTCCTCCTCCTCCTCCGCCTCCTCCCGCCTCCCCCTTCCTCCTCCCTTCTCCTACTCCAACCTCCCATTTCCACCGCTCCCTCCTCCCTCCTCCTCTCTCCCCTCCTCCTCCTCCTCCTCCTCCTCCTTCTCCTCCTCCCCTCCTCCTCTCCTCCCTCTCCTCCTCCTCCTCCTCTCTTCCTCCTCCTCCTCCTCCTCCTTCTCCCCTCCTCCTCCTCTCCTCCTCCCTCTCCTCCTCTCTTCCTCCTCCTCCTGCCCAGCTCCTGCCTTCCTCCTCCTCCTCCTCCTCCTCCTCCTCCTCCTCCTCCTCCTCCTCCTCCCCCTCCTCCTCGCCTCATCCTCCTCCTCATCTTCCACGGCATGCGTCTCCGCCCACTTCGTCGCCAACGTCGTGGTCCTCTTCAGGGTCGGCGGCACCGGCCGTCAGGCCTTCGCAATCGAACGGAATATCATATATCAGAGCATACCGTGATATGGTAAGCCCGAATAATCAAACATCGAGCATCGCCGAATTTAGCAGACAAGAAAGCATCAGCGACCGATTCACGGCGTCCTCTGAAACGCGACGTGCGCGACGAAGTAAGGGTGGCCACAGGCACAACGAGGCGCAACAACGACCGATTGGACGACGTATCAAACGTCACAGGCGCCATCACGACCAAAACGTATTAAACGATGTGCTACAAAAAGTGGCTCGAATTGAAGGCTGTAGTAATTCAGCAGCGACCGATGAACGGCGCCCTATCAAACGCAATATGCGAGCCCACGCAAGGCTGGCCACAAAAAACAAAAAACATAACATGAATAGAACATGACAGAACCGGGCATAATGTCATAGAGTAAAATTCAGCAGTGGCCGAGCACTGGCTGCTTATCAAATGCGACATGCCCGACGAGCAGAGGCTGGCCATGGTAACGAACACTACCAGACTCGGGAACAAACGCCGAGGGTTTCGGTGGGGATCGCTCGAAGCATATTAACTAAACATGGATTTCTCGCGTGAGACTTCGATGGTATTAGGAGTCCGAAATTTCACTGCACGTGGAGCTGCACGGATCCATGGCGGCTCTTTTTCTAAATGGACTTGTCGCTTGAGACTTCTCGGAGTTCATGACCACATGGGCCAACTAGCGCAACAATTACGAGGATGGGTGGTGGCACTTCTTCGTAAGGGGAATATCCCTGGACACCCCGTTGACCTGCATGATCTTTGCTTTCTCGTTTTCCTGACTACGAACCGAAAAAAATGCAAGGCCGTTTCTTTTCAAAGTGTGGCCCTCGCCAATGTGACACGCCCAGCCGTGCTGGTCATTCAATGGGGAGGGGTTTTTGTAGTCGTCCTCCTCCTCCTCCTCCTCCTCCTCCTCCTCCTCCTCTCCCGCCTCCTCCTCCTCCTTGTGACCTTACGAATGCGGACCGCACTGTTTCCAAAGGTGGTCTGCTTCTCCTCCTCCTGGGCACGCAACATATCAGCTCGACTACCTGCGCGCCCCCTCTCCTGCCCCCCCCGCCCTCGTCGTCGCCCTCCTCGTCAAACTCCCCTCCTCCCCTCCTCCTCCTCCTCCTCCTCCTCTCCTCCTCCTCCGCCTCCTCCTCCTCCTCCATCCTCCTCCTCCTCCTCCTCCCCCTCCTTCCTCCTCCTCCTCCTCCCCCTCCTCCTCTCCTCCTTCCTCCTCCTCCTCCTCCTCCTCCTCCTCCTCCTTCCTCTCCCCCCCCAGAGACCACCACGGGCGACAGGGTGATGGTGGCGGCCGGCTCCCCGCCGTCCGGGCGCCCCGCCGGCGGCCGCGCGCGGCAGCGGCACCGCGCCCCCGGAGCCGCCTGAGCCGGCCAACGCGGCGCAGCCTCCCCGTCGCCCGCTGCGCGATCCACCCCCGAGGCAGGCCGCCCCGTCGCCCGATGCGGGGCTTTTGCGGAGCTCGCGGCCCCACTGCGAGCGAGCGAGCGAGTCACCAATGCGGACAATGTCCGGGCCGATCCAGGACCTAGGACCTACAACCCTCGTCAAAAATAAACTGAGGGATTATGTTTTCGGTGATTGTATGGTCAGCGCTACTCCAATGCTGACGCTAGATATCTGACGTGGACGCAAGGGCTTCAAAAATCCGACGACCCCTCCGCAGCATTGAAGAACGCAGTTTCTAACAAGTGCCCGAGAAGATCGATCGTCGTGATTTCCAACTTTGTTTCTGTTTATTTTTGACGAGGCTTGTAGGCCCCCACTGGGCCGCGGCAACCGGCGGTTTGCAGCTCCAGAGGCATCGTGCGCCGCGGCGTCCGCTCCGCGGGGATAGTGCGCCAACGCTTGGCTGCTTCGGCCACGGCCGTCGCCGCGCCGCCCCGGCCCGCGCTGCGGCCGGGCGGTTTGTTTTGCCCCCGTCGGAGCGCGGACAACTCGGGCGAGAAGCTCTCCGCCAGCGAAGGTGCCGATGGCGTACTACTGTTCGCCAAGAGCGGCGGCCAAGGCCTTCCTGCGCGGATGGTCCAGGCGCGGCTCACGAGGTGTCGTAAACTGTTTGGCGATGGGCCGCACTCCGCCGCCTGGCTTGCGCGGCGGAATAACCGTCGAGATGGCCAACGCGGCCTTCTGCCGCGCATTCCGGGACGCGGCCTTCTGCGATCCGATCCTGCCGCACACCTGGCTGAGGGCTGCAGAGCAAGGCGGCCGTTCGCAAATGCAGTCATCGTGCTACCGTTGAGAACACTGGGTAAGGAACGACGGCGCTTTGCTGAGCAGGGAAGGTCTCGGCTACGAGTAGGCTCCCCGACCGAGATCTATGGAGCGGCCCGAAAACCAGAGCCCCTCCTGAGCCCAAAGTGGTTCTTACTTGAGCGTCTTAGCTGTACTCCTCCGCCATGGATTACCGCAAGACCGCGACAGCCAAGAAGTGCGCTCGTCCTGCGAGCCCCCTTCCGTCCTCGCGCAGGCTTCTCGCGAGGTTGCCGCCCCGTGATTCAGGCGCCCACTGGCAGCTCCGCCCAGACGTCGTGCTGCAGGGCGGAGCAGCGCTGCCGCTCCAGCTGCGCCCTGGCCACTGCGGCCGCCTCCCGCCTCCTCCTCCTCCTCCTCCTCCTCCTCCTCTTCCTCCTCCTCCTCCTCCTCCTCCTCCTCCTCCTCCTCCTCCTCCTGGAGTGTCCCGAAATCCTCCAGGCCCTCGAGCATGCAGCCGAGGAACTCATAGGCGTCCTGAGGAGGAGGAGGAGGAGGAGGAGGAGGACGAGGAGGAGGAGGTGGAGGAGGAGGAGGAAGAGGAGGAGGACGACGAACCATCATCGACGACGGGCCGTAAACGACGGCGACGTCATCAGCAACGACGGCGACGTTGTCGACGACGACGATGACGACGACGTGCTCGGGGAAGCAAAGGCACTAAGAACAGCATTATGAGTGTAAGCTCGACCTCATTTCTGTTGGTGTATCCCAGGCTGACCTTGTGTGATGGTAGGGGCTCCTGACATGTTTTGGGTCCTCCGGGAAAGGGGGACGGGGAGGGACGAAGCGGCGAGGAGGAAAAGGAGCAACAGCTCGGACTTTCCTTGGTACATGTTGGGGGAAGTGCGAGGGTGGCTTGAGTGGGCTCTGGGGTTCCACGTATTGGTGTAGAGGAGGAGTTGGTGGATGATGATGATGATGATGATGATGATGATGATGATGATGATGATGATGATGATGATGATGATGATGATGATGATGATGATGATGATGATGATGATGATGATGATTATGATGCTGATGCTGATGCTGATGCTGATGCTGATGCTGATGCTGGTGATGCTGGTGATGCTGGTGATGCTGGTGATGCTGATGCTGTGGATGCTAATGCTGATGCTGATGATACTGGTAATGGTAATGATAATAGAGATGCTGATGCTGCTGATGGTGATGGTGATGGTACTGATGATGGTGATGCTGCTGATGATGATGATGCTGATGATGATGCTGATGTTGATGAGGTAATGATGACGATGATGATAATGCTGATGCACGGTGATGGGTGTAATCATATGGTGATGATGCTGATGCTGATGACGACGATGCTTATGATGCAGATGCTGCTGATGTTGATGAGGAGGACGAGGAGGAGGAGGACAACATGCTTAGAGAAACTCGAAATGGTCGGAGCTCTCCAACATAGACCTGAAACAACAAGTCATTGTGAGGAATACATCAAGGCGGTGGAGGAACTTCTTCGAGGTTGTCTGATATTCGAGTGCCAGTTTTCCATGTGCGGAGACTGAGGGGGCTTTCAGAGGGCAGTGGGAAGAGGGATGTGAACATAATGGAACATGGGACGAGAGGTAAGCAGTATGGGGGGAGGAGAAGGGAGGGAAGCTGGGAGGGGATGCGAACGGACGGGAGGGGGTGCTGGAGTCCTTCTCTTCTTCTTCCTTCCCATCGTGGACTTATTTCCAACCATCCTGTGGTGCTGGGTCCTCATTTTGAAGAGACAGCGCCCCGCGTTATTCTCCTCCTCTTCTCCTCCCCCCTCCTTCCCCCTCCATCACCATCAGCATCATCATCATCGCCGTCACCATCACCTTTATCGTCATCATCGCCGTCATCATCACCATCGCCACCAACTTCGCCACACTCCTCACACGTTTCGTGGCCCCATCGGGAGTTCAACCGAAAGCCCTAATGGCGCAGTTCGCATGCGTCCGCGCCACCCGTCCCAGCGAACTCACACGTGTCGTGGTCCCACAAGGGGCTCCACCGAAGGCCCCGCTGGATGCGCCCGCATGCGGTTCCACACTGCATTTCTGTGAGCCCCTCAAACGTTTCGTGGCGCCAAAAAAAGGCTCCACCTAAGGCCCAATGGCAGCGCCCGCATGCAGTTCCACCGCTATTTCGGTGGCAGTCCTCACACGTTTCGTGGCCCCACAGGGAGCTCCACCGAAGGCCCCAGTGGCAGTGCCCCCATGCGGTTCCACACCCATTTAGGCACACCACTCATACGTTTCGTCGCCACATGGGGAGCTCCTCCGAAGGCCCCAGTGGCACCGCCCGCATGCGGTTCTACCCTGCATGTCGGCGAACCCCCTCACACGTTTCGTGGTCGGAGCTCCACCGAATGCCCCAGTGGCAACGCCCGCATGCGGCTTAACCCCCATGTCGGCACACACCTCACACGTTTCGTGACCCCATAGGGAGCTCCAACGCCCGCATGCGGTTCCACCCCCATGTCGGCACACCCCTCACACGTTTCGTGGCCCCATAGGGAGCTCCAGCGCCCGCATGCGGTTCCACCCCCCATGTCGGCACACCCCTCACACGTTTCGCTGCCCCATTGGCAGCTCCACCGAAGGCCTCAATGGCAACGCCCACATGCGGTTCCACTGCTATTTCGGCGAACTCCCCAAACGTTTCCCGGGCCCATAAAGGGGGCTTCGCCGAAAGCCCAAGCGGCAACGCCCGCATGTGGTTCCACCGCTATTTCGGCGAAATCCTCACACGCTTCGTGGCCCCATATGGGTGCTCCACCGAAGGCCCCAGTGGCAGCGCCCGCATGCGGTTTCACCCTCCATTTCGGCACACCCCTTACACGTTTCGTGGCCCCATACGGTGCTCCACTTGAAGCTCCAGTGGCAGCGCCCGCATGCGGCTCCATTCCTCAGTTTGGTGCACCCCTCGCACGGTTCGTGGCCTGAGGCGGCACCACCGAAGACTCGAGTGGCAACGTCCGCATGCGGTTCCAACCCATGTCGGTGCACCTCTCACACGCTTCGTGGCCCCACAGGGAGCTCCACTGAAAGCCCCAGTGGCAGCACCCGCATACGGTTCCACCCTCCATATCGGTGCACCCCTCGCACGTTTCGTGGCCCTACATGGGAGCTCCACCGAAGGCCCCAGTGGCAGCGCCCGCGTGCCGCCGCCATCTCACTTTGGCGCACCCCTCATACGTTTCGGAGCTCCACCGAACACGCTACTCACGACTGCGGTACCCACAGCTGCATATTATGGTTGGGTCCTTCGCCAAGCTGATGTTCTGTCTGTTCGTCTGCCTGCCCGTCCGTATGTTCACATGTCCGTCTCGTTATTTGGAGGAGCGCCGAAATCTTTGAAACAAGAATACGCTTAGTCAATCATCGTGGTTATGGGCAGGGGAGGGGTACGAAAGTAGTGCCGCCCCCCTTGAGCCAGAGACAGATTTGCCTCGTGGGTCTCTCTGAGGGCGCTCCTGGGGCGGGGGATCGGCAGGAGAAGGAAGGAGGAGGTGAGCGGCAGGAGGACGCGGAGGCCGAGGAGAAGGACGAGGACGAGGCGGAGCAAGAGGGCGGCGTCTGCGTCACTGATCTCCGACTTCCCCCGTGGCGAAACAAACATGACGTGGCGAGAAAACATCACAGCATAACATCGCAGGCCAAACTTGTAAGTACAGGCTGCTCGGATGAAGCATATGGGAACACGAAGCAGGGAAACCGTTGAAGCTGATTGGGTCGGCCAAGTAATAGTCGCTTCAAGTGGGCTTCCATCGACTCTTGAAGCAATACTGGTCTGGAAACAAATCGGGACCAATTCATCCAACTATAAGCGACAAAGAGAAAAGGGCAAGGGACATAGATCTGCCAAGCCTGCGTGCTGCCTCCTGGTGGCCGTCGGCGGCGTCATCGTCGCGCTCCTCCTCCTCCTCCTACTCCTCCTCCTCCTCCTCCTCCTCCTCCTCCTC